CTCGGCGTCGAACAAACGGTGTACAAGTCGAGAACCTAGAACACATCAACGTCGTTTTCGAGACGGAAACAATTGTGAAAGTACGTTGTGGTGCGGCTGACGACCAGGAAGGCTTCCTGGCGCAGGACCGTCTCGATGAGAGCGCGTGCGAGACCGCAGCGTCTGGTGGCATACCGCCAACGGACGCCAACCAGGTGACGCTTGACATCAGCACCGACGCAGTCGACATGCACCGCCATGTTTGCACGCAGCAGCCAACACCAAGGCTCGTTGGCGCGACTCTGAAGAACTGCAGCGAGCAAGTTGCACCACGTTTTCCACGCGACGCCTCACTACGAACGACCACGCTCGACCGTCAGTCTCGAGCGACACCTAGACGCACGCAATCACCAAGACGAGGAGTCCGGAGGACACGCACAGACCTCGGTCCACCGGCGCGCATACCATCGCCAAGCAGCCGCCAACGACGCCGATCACCTATCATTGGGGCACCGCCTCGCCAACCCATGGCAGGCGTGGTAATCCACCTCCTTTGCCCCCTTTATTGGCAACAAGCGCGACTCCACCAACACGTGGAGCCGCAAGGCGCCGCTGCCGATTGCGGGTCCATGCTCGGCGGTCACGATCGGCAAGCACATATGTGTGCTTCTCCACGGCCGGTCCGTCGTGCGCTACTCGCCGACCGACGATACGTACGTGACGATGGCGAACCTCCCGCTCCCCGAGTGGTACTGCTTTGACGCGGACGTGGCCGGTACAACCATCTATGCACTCGGCGGCATCTCCAAGGGCGTCTGGTCGCGCGAGTTTTACGCCTACGACACGATCGCCAACACGTGGGCGCGGCTGCCACCGATGAAGAAGCGTCGGTAGCGCACGGCTGCTACGCTCGTCACGTACCCGCCGACGGCTCCGTCGTCGTAGATTGCGCCGGCAGCATATATGTATGCCCTCTTTCTAATATGACTGGTTGCAGTACAGGAGAGGACCTGTTCGTATCATGGATCATGGTTGGAGCCAGCGAGCGCGAATATTTGCGACGAATCTCGGATTCCAGAGCCGAATCCGCTCTGTTGCGGTCGATGGAAAACGCAGGGAGGGTGTCGGCGGCCGTGGCGCGATGCTGGGTCGCTGACGTCACGGCGGGACCCTCTCTTGACGCGATGGGTTGCGCCCATCCCCTTGGCTTTGCGCAAAATTTGCGTATCCAGCATCCAGCATGCTGCATCCAACTGACATGCGCTCGCGACAACCACTCTCGCATTTCAAGTGATTTAAAACCAAATCAATTCTGCATACAAATACTCTGTATAGCGCACAAAGAATAGGGCCAAGCTTTTCTCAAGAGTCGCTCATTCCATCGCCCTCTCCAGGATTCCACGCAGGAAGAGCAGCAGCGCCCGTTCCGCGTACGTACTACAAGCGAACGTTCATGGCGCATGGCTCATGCTCATGCGTAGGTGTGGCTCTTTGACGCGTCCAAGCAGTGCATCGGCGCGGGCTGGGCGCACGCGGCGAACCTCACGATTGCGATTTTGCTCATGCAATACTCGACCGAGAAGGAAAACGCCGACGAGGTGCGACCCCACGACCACCTTTTGATGGCTCATGGACTATTGGGCAGTGCGCCTTTTACTTTATCAACTTTAATCTCGACACGAGCTTTGGCGTCGCGCTCAACTGGTTCCTCCTCCACTGCTCCGTGCTCCTTGCGGTACGACCATCTTTCTTGGCGTCTCTGCCGCCGACAGCACACAGGATGCTCATGACGCAATTCCATCCTATAGCGTCGCTTTCACTAGGAAGCGCTCCAAGTGCTGGGCTTCTACGGCAACCCGATCCGGACGCGGTAAGTCTCTCGTCGTCGCCTCGCCTCATGCACGACAACGACTAGCGTGTGGCTCATCCAGCTCGGCGTGTGGCTCGTCATCATCATCATGACCAAGCTCATCATCGGCCGCGTCATCTTGTGGTTCGAGCGCCCCATCAATGCGTTTGCGAATGTGCTTTTCGAGCCGCTCTCGGACTTTCCGCGGCTCGAGCTCGTCCTCGTCATGATCGCGTGCCCCGTGACGATGAACGTTGTTCAGTTTTGGGTCACCGACAACTTTCTCAAGAAGCACGACAGCGACGTCAAGGCCGCGGACGAGAACACGCCGCTGACCATCAAGCCCCACGACACGTACGTCTAATGTACGCGAGACGGGCTTGAGAGACAAAGATATATTAGAATAAGCAACATACACGTACTACGCAGTACGATTCAATCGTTCCATCATACTAAGATCAATGGCAGTAAAAAGGTAGTAAATGTGAGATCAATCAACCGGGGATCCCGTCATTTATCTGTTCGTACGATCATCTGGAACGCGTCTCGTACAGGGTACGCCGACTAACTCGCTAGCGACGAAATGGCGCCATGGCCTCGACGGGCAGACGACGCATGGCTTGCCAATGGACAGTGGCAGCCATGCATTAGCCTCACGTGCTGGAAGATCGCCTCGTCGCGCCGACCTCAGCGACTGCTGCGATGGACGGCGGGCGAACGACCCCGACTCGAGATGAAATGCTCTTGCCACTCACTGCCCAATCGCCAACCAGTGCAAGACCATTGGGCAAAATGCAGAACTTTTTCGACATTACGCGCGCTGATTGGTGAATGGCATGACTCCGAGCGCAAGAGCTAGTGCAATGCAACCATGGTCACGCGTGACTGCGTTGCCTCCACCCCGTGGACCCAGTACTTGGACGATCGATGGCTGGCACGCCTGCCGCCAGTCGTTTGACCTGGCCTTCACCAAGGACCGAGTCCTTGATGAGCGTGGAATAATTGCTCTTGGCGAACCGAACGAAATTTGGTCGATAATGGACCTGCAAACCCAATTCTCATAGACTAGTACGCAATTATCAATATGGCGATTTCGATAATCGATTAAAAAATAATTGCCGCGAACCGAACGAAGCCTTAGAATTTAATTGTCACCCGTCTATGTGACCTGGAGCCACTTGGTTTTAGTGGTGAGGACCTTGGCTATGTAGTCGCCTTTCTTTGTATTCTCCGGCATCTCGAGAAACTTGATCATCCCACCAGATGCATCGTCAGAGCTGAGCGGTTCGAGCACACATTTTGGCGGGCCTACTTTCGTCTTGGCGGGCCGCGCGTTGCAGTCGTCAGAGATGCGCTTGTTGCTGGTCTTGCCCGGCGGGAAATCGTCAATGTTCACGAGTGCTGGCTTGTGCTCGGGCTTCTTCATCGGTGGTCGTGGCTGCTGACGCATTGGGCGCGGGTTGCTGTTTTGGGGCGATCGGATACAGCTGCTTGATGGCCCAGACGCGATGAGGTCATCCATCGTGAAGAGGACGAATTTTGACTTCTTGGTCTTGGCCGGCGTCGTCGGGAGCTCGCTCACAAAAAACTCCTCGGGCAACGCGTCCAGCTTCTTTGCAGCCATCTTCGCGGCGGTCGACGACTTGGAAAAGGTCATTTTGGAGGAGGTATTTGTTGAAGGCGCGACGGCGACGTCCTTGTCCTTGTGCTCCGTCTTGCGCTGCTCGCGCTTTTCCTGGTCGCGCTTGGCCGCATACGTGCGCTGGATCGAGTTGACTTTGTTGCGGTGGTAGTTGCAAAGCATGTGGTGGTCGCCGTTCTTCTTGAGCGACCGGCCGTTGTTGCACGTCTTGTACTTGCACTTGAGCTCGGGCGGCACGTTCGTGTTGGCGAGCGGAAGGGGCTTGAGGAGCTTGTTAATGTCGGATGTTTCAGCCGCGCGGTGCTTCTTGGGCTGTTCCCGCTTGGCTCTTTTTGCAGTCGTCTCGCCATAGACGGCTGCATATGAGTCCTTGATGACCTACGCAAGGTTAAAGCCACCAGTTGCTGCCGCCATGCTCGCCGTACGTCCTTCATCGCCGCTTTGAGGATCGTACTGGCGTTCTGGGCCGTCCGGTGCTGCCCGGGAAACATCGTAAACGTGTAGAGCTTGCGCCACATGCCCATGGGGCGCTTGATCGCATAACCATCCACGTCCTGCACTCGCTTGATCAGCGTGTCTTGCGTCAAACTACGTGCACGTTGCACACCTCGCGCTGGTGTCGAGAACGTACATGTCGTTGCTCGCAATGCTGATCGGGTACTCGCCCTTGGTATCACTGCAGATGCTTAGGACTAGCGCCCCTGCCATGAGTTCCTCATTCTAGGCATGCTGCATACCGATCGACTCGCGCCGACCGCGCGGGTCACCGGCGACGAAGGCCCCGCAGTGGTACGCAATGAGCTCGCCGACCCGGAGCTCCTCCATCGCGAGCGAGTGGCTGCGGTCGTCTTCGTCGCTTGAGATGCTCATGTATTACGAAGCACTTGAGAGGCTGCTTAAGAGGGCTGCGTCGAGGCGGAGGACCGTGGGAGAAATTGGAAATGAGCCCTTCACATCGCTATAGGTCAACCACACGCAGTGTCCACCTCTACTGGCACATCCGATTGGCTATAATTCGTTTCCCGCTGCCCAAGCATCCCGTCAAGTTCAACTACCAGTGCAGTGCACGCCACCTGCACCCTACCAGCTAAATGGGGTCCAAAACTTTGTATCCCAGCTATGAATGCATAATTGTTCCTCGACAGCGCCGACCGCACCGACCTCGACCTCGCCGACCTCGACCGCGCCCACCTCGCCGACCTCGACCGCGCCGACCTCGACCGCGCCTACCGAGCCCGCGCCCACCTCATGTACCACATTGCGATGCCATGGCTCATGGTGCATCATCGACTGCTGTAGTACGGCGCTGACGATGGACTCGCGGAGCAATGCAGCCGTGCACGACTTGTACGCCACGAATGACGGTACAATACGATGTGTCTCGCTCGTAAGTGGGGCTAACGCTGGCGTAGGCGATGTGTGGGCGGCCACCGGCGACGGCGCTTGCACCAAATGGACGGACATTGCGACAGCGCCGGTCGTCGACACGGAGCTCTTCGGCCCGACGTACGACGCGGTGCACGGCGTGACGGGCTATGGTAACAAGCTCTACACAGTCTCGCGCGACCGGGTGCTGCGCACGTACACGCTCGAGTAATATCAAGAGTCGAGAACGAGAACGATGTCAGAGGTCGATATTATTGACCTCTGATCCGACAGCTGGTGGCTTATCCGGACCAGTTCTGCTCCAATCATACATCC